CAGCCAAGGTCAGCGCTCGCTCTCTCTCTCACTGTGGATTAGTGACACTAATCCAACATAAACACACAGCATGCAGATTAAACACATCATCACAGTGCGACACTCGCTGTGCTGAGTGGATCATGGCGGTTGCTTCACTGCTGCCTGATGTAATACGAGGCAGGATTGCACTCTAGGGCTGAAGTATGCCAAAGGCCGTCACAAAAGATTTCCAATGTTGGGTTTACAGCTTTTAACCACACCTTCTCTTACAGAGAAACAAAAGAATAGCATCGATAGTTCTTTTGTTCTGGAAAACATGTTGTCAGCCAGGTGATATGCACATCAGGGCAAGCAAATGACTATGCAAATTTTTAGTAGCAATATCTGTAGAGCTTCTGTAGAGGAAGCTCTGTCATGCAAAAACTGAAACTGAAATGTAGCTACACAGTTGTACTGCCACTCAAAACGTCTGGTTCCATAACTGAATGCTCAGGGCTATAGACCTGCAGCGATGGGTTAGCTTATTATTTATTATTCTAGTTATTGTTTTTGATTTTTCCTATAAAATAACAACAAAAGAGATCAATACAAATATCAAAAAGTAGCCAAAGTGGCGATATAGAGCGGGGTTCTGTGAAACTTAACTATAAGCCTAATGCTAACCTCCTCTGACAGAAGGATAGCTTAGCATGCTAAGGTTGACATGATGTGGATGATAAACTGGGCGTCATCAGGACGCTACAACACAGAGCGAACACCATCCCCACAGACACAGCGGCCAGGGAAGCAGAAGAACATCACATCAAGAAGTCCCTGAGTAAATGTGATTATCTCAGCTGGACATTTGTCAAAGCTGGGAAGGCGCCTAAAGAAAGCTCCAGCTGATCCAGGAGAGAAGAAAGATAATTCCTGCCTAAGTGAAAACCTGTAGTGATCCCTTATGTGGCACAAACAGAGTAATGTAGTGTACAATGTTAAGTGCCAGCAGGATTTACACATCGAGGAAACCAAACAAGCAGATGGCACAACACAGAAGAGCTAAGGACTAAACAGTCTATTTACACCTACAGGCCAGTGGACACATCCTGGACAGGGAGGAACGCTGGTTTGAGGGCGAAGTCAAGGAGGCCATTTACGTTTAAAGGGAAAGACCATCTCTGAATCGAGGTGACAGATGGCCTAAGGGTCCATCTGTCACCATCCTATATCTCTGTGATTGCAGCCATTCCCCAACTCTCTGTGAATGTAATAATAGCCGAACTTGCCTCATTGTCTATAACTGCTTTCTATGTATCATTCACCAGCATTCATAGGCCGATTGATGCATCGCAGAACAACTTGGGGTTAGTATCTCGCCCTTGACTGGAGGAGCCAGGGATCAAACCAGCAACCTTCCACACACATCTCATGTCGTGTGGGACTTTGCAAATGTGACCTAACTGGCTTATAAAATATAATCCACTGAGCCAAAACCATCAGTATTTTGTTCATCAAAAAGCTTAGCAGGTTGAAGAGACACAAGGTAGCTCAGGGTAGAGGTAATAAGTAAAAGGTCATTTCAGTCATTTGGATCAATTAGATTATTACTTGTGGGTGTCTGGGGCTGTCGGCTCATTACCAGGCAGCTCCACAGTAATGACAGGGCCATGCAAACACCAATACACACACGAAAGCAGCGGTGGGGAATTAGAAAGGTGTTAAACTCTGATTGAATCATCAGCGTGAGAGTCAGAACAAGAGAGCAGGTGTTTAATGAATAGCTGAATGGCTGCAATCAATGTGAACGAATGAGAAACAAGAGCGGCTCGCTCAGTAAGCGCATGTATTGATGCCGTAACCACGTGATAGCGGCATATAGACACTGCTAAGCTAAAGCAGCAGTTAGCGATCGGTGAAAAAGCCAATAACCACTCAAGTTTTTTACTGTTTGATAAATATGTTTCGCTAGGAACATTAGAGCGGTTGTGTCATTACCAGAACAGCAACCATTGGCTTGTTTCAGCCTGATGAACGCCACCTGTCCATAAGGTGTTTACTCATAATCAGAATTACTCACAATCCCAAATTACTTTATGAGACCACAATACTTAATTTTGAGCAGAAGACTTTACCTTATAGTTACTGAATGAAAATTTGTTTTCAATTGAACACAACATAGGAAATGAGCTTTGCGGGTCTGACGATGACAACAGCACACGACAGAGTGACAGGAGGATTACAGCGTGGACAGATGGCACTACCGAGCCAGGAAACTGCAGGCTTGAAGCCAAAGTGGGGAAATACAGCAGGTGATCAGAGCAATATGGTGGAGAGGGCGACCTGCTGAAAACAAATTCCAACCCTTCAAAGGTTCCTTTTTTCAAAACAAAATGAAGAGCCAGCTGCAGCAATGTGGCAGCATTTTGAGAAGATAAAGGATTTGTCCGAATCGTGCTCTGAATTTGATTAGAGGCTGAAAACTATTAGAAATTCTAGTACGCGGAAATAAAAATTCTGCCTCAGTGAAATGAAAATTCGCCTCTTTCCATGTCAGAAGACAGATCAATTTATTTCAAAATCCAATCAACAACCAATAGATTATTTTTTTCCCAATTTCCAGGCTGTAAGTGATTCTGACTCACAAGGAATTACAATTTGTTGTCGTTGCTGTTGTTCGGCTTCAGTTTCTCTGGTTATCTGCAGGCTGTGCATGTGATGCTGTGCTAGCATCTCGTGTGGATTCAAATCCAGGTCATGATCCAATGACACAAACTAGTTCTGTCACTGCATATTGTGTTTACAGGTAGAAACAGTGTGACAATGATGAGAGAAACTATTGAATAAACCATGTCCCATCCTATGTGCCTTTCCTCATATCGTGCTCTTCAGATTTCTTTGATGGTGCATCTGCTAACTCCAACTATCTAGACTCAAGTTATTTAGCATTATTAGGTTGTAGCATTGACAAAAACACAAGTACTCAGATATTAATTAATAACAAATTATTACTGAATAAAAATACTAATTTGCAACTGTATCAATACCAACAATAGCATCTTTGCCTCCGTCAGCTCACACACAACAACCCAAAGCAAGGCTGCTAGCTAACAGCTGCTAGTTTACACTGAGCAACACTTTAGAAAGAACTTCAGAGGTCAGTAAAGCTCTCGTTTCAACAGCAGTAAAGTATTAAACAGTTATCATAAATGTTAATCTGGCTGGCAGACATGTTGACGTTCGCTGTTTAACAATTAGCAATTAACCCATAGCTGTGTTAGCCATCAGTTATCGTTAACGGAGCAGCAAGTGGACTTTAGTTAGATCCAAGAGAAATTGTTATTGCAGGCAGCCACGATAAAGCAGATTATGGACATATGGAGAACAAGCCTGTTCTTTTCTACTTTAACAATGATTTAATTAAACGTTCTCTGGGTTAAATTTTGAAAATGCAGACAGAGACCGGTTCAATCAGTTTCATAGTGGGAGGTCTGTTTTTATGTCTTCTTTAGCATAACTAATACGACGCCTTATACAAAATTCATTTGTAACTTTTCCATAATACTTTTATGCAATTAGGGCTGCTCAATTAATCGAATTTTAATCACGATTACGATCTGGGCTTTCAACGATCATTAAAAATGACTGAGCCGATTATTAGCCCCTCCCTCATTTATCCGCGACACCTTAAAGGCCGGTCCGTGAAAATATTGTCGGGCATAAACCGGTCCGTGGCGCAAAAAAGGTTGGAGACCGCTGATTAAGAGGACCCGAGGGAAGCTCGGAAAGCTAAGCAGAAGTTATTTGGAGAGGAGAGTGACTGCTGTTGGTTGAAAAGAGAGGTAAAAAAACTTCAGTGGTGTTGCACACTATTTTATATTATTTTTTAAAGTCATTGTTAACCCTTTAAATCCGGTCAGAGCAGCACGCTCCGCTTTGTGTAACTATTTTTAAATCCCTGTAGAACCTGAACCACGTAAGCTAGCGCAATAATTTGTTTTGCATATGAAACCAGAGGAGTTGTACTTACATCTTATGCCATCAGCTTGTCCTAGGTCACGGTTTCCTTCCACATATAGCTTTGCAAAAATTGCATAAAAAGCGCTTGCAGGAACAAAAACATAATATTCCAGAAACACGCTTTGCCGATCCGATCAGCTGTTCTTAACACTTCCCACATTGAAAAAGACGTCAGCGCGAACTATCGCATTTCCTGCCCGAAACCGGAAGTGACGTCATTTTCGCGGAAAATGTAGTTTTTTACTTGTAGGCCTTAAAAGCCTATACTGGTCATGTTTGACTTTTCTGAATAGTTTCTGGGATGCTTAGAACTCGAATTGCACTGCTGGAAATAGTTTATTTTGATGCACCTGCTGTTTTCTTTGCAAATTTGCATCATAGGATTGTTTTTTTGTTTTTCCTGCAGTATATAAAAATTGGTGTATCTCAAAAATAAAACTATGAAGACACTCAAAATAAATTTCCTGTTGTTGTAAACTATTTTTTGCAACTTTTTTGTATTTAAAGTTTTGAGGGATAACCTCTTAAATTTCTCCAAGTAGAAATATATGTAAAAAAACAAAACAAAAACAATTTTCAATTTTTTTGTAGTTTATTGCACTTTTTTGCAATTAATTACTATGACTTAATGCATACATATTATTAAAATATGGGCTATAACAGTTATTTAGCAACTTGAAATGCTCCCACAAATGGCACTACAACATGTAAAAAAATAATATAAGCTCTGTCGGACTTGGTTCTATAGTAGGTCTTAAAGGGTTAAATAAATATCGTCAAATAATCGAGATCTCAATTTCAGTGAAAATAATCGTGATTATCATTTTTGCCATAATCGAGCAGCCCTATATGCAATAATTAAATGATCTATGTTTTACGTCGTGTAGTTGCTGTAGCAACAACCCATGACAACCCCACTCTAGAATACCAAATTATTATGAGAGGCTTTCGAAACATGAACAGGTTTAACTATGTTAGAAAAATTTCATTTAGCTTTTCCTTTGTTTTAACCAGTTATTTACCTGCAGCATACATGACGGCGAGCATGATGGAGGAGATCCATGCGATCTGACTGTAGGAGGCGCCGAAAATGTTCTGGATTTCTTTGAAGAAGACTGTGATGGCTTTCGGGAAAGCGTATGAGAATCCTATGGAGATGAAAGATCCAAGTACCACAGCCCACCCCCACCCACCATCTGGTGGGGGCACAGCAGGACTTGTGGCTGGGGTTGGCATCACTGGCCCAACTCAACGCAGATTTGCTGAACGCTGGAAAAAGAAAGAAAGGAGGATATCAAAACTCACAGAGAACTTTAAGGTTATGGAAAAAATGACCCGAGAAGTTCTGTTTCTAGGAAAATGTCATCGATCATTAGGGGTAGTATATCCTGTAGATAAATCACAAGCTGTAGCTCATATTGACAGTATACAGACACCTGTGGGATGACAAAGGAGGTTCAAATGTTTGTTCTCTCTGTTTTTCAGATGCGCAGCTGCAAACAGTAATGTGACACAAGAGCAAGGAGGACATGCCAGAGGCCCTTATCCTTTATAGGGTGTGGGCAAACACAGGATCACGAGATTCCAGAGGGCATGCACTCATTATACCTGAGAGGCCAGATCTCCCCCACCCACTGCTCACCTTGAGCACACCTCCTTCCCACAGGCATTAATGAAACAAGGGTAGAGCTTGACTTACAGAAGTGTAGTGGCAGTTTAAAATCACGTGGTGTGTATACAGAGTAAACCTGACCTAATTATACGTAAGGGAAAAAAAACAAGTATGGAAACTATCTACTGCCACGCATCACTGTACTGATGCTACAAGTCAAGTAAAGAAAGATGCATTTATATTCACGGACACGTGATAAACCAAAAAGGCCAGCTGCTATGTTTTTAGCTCTGTCTAAGCTCATTAGCCTCACCTCTGTCATCAGTCAGAGGTGAGGCTATATAATTTACAGCTGTATAATTAATTTGAGGCACCCACTGAGATGATGGCAGCTAGTGTGGCGTCACAGAAATGAGCAACCTGTCGAAGAGTCAACATGTTTGCTCATGTCAGCGGTGCAGAATCACAAGTGAGTAATTATTGAGATTAACACAGCCAGACTCGGATTACCGGGTACGAGTCTGAAATAATTGGCACCGCTGATTTCACTTCAGCTTTGTGTTATTATGTTTTCATTAGAGAGCGAGGCCCATTTTAAGGTTTAAAAGTCAAACTGGTTCCCTGTTGATCGCTTAATGATGACCTGTTCCTAGCAGACAGGTATCAGCAATAGCTGGTTGCTAGAATACCTGCCAGTCAGAACAGTCATTGTAAGCTTAAAGACAATCCAAGCGTTTAAATCCACCATGAAGTTGTTAGTAAGGGGGAAATTAGCTATAAAGACCTCAGGTCTCAGTCATACAAGCCGAGAGTACGGTCGGCGTCCCTTTGGCAACCACCAGTCTCTAGGGAGGAAGCTGCATTCCTACATGTGGTGAGCGGTTGCTGGAAGTTGCTGGCAGGTGTAACTGGTTGCAAAGAGCCATGTGGTGCTGCACTTTGGTTGCGTACTGCTAATAATTACCAGCTACTTGTCATGAATAGACCATAAAACGTGTCTATAATTCGTTCAAACTGGAAGGAATTACTTAATTAAATGTGTCAATAATGAATTACAATTAAAAATAAATACATAATTATTAAATGTTTTAAATTAAATTAATGAATATTTTATTAATTATTTTCTACTTTTATCCATTATTTAATTATGTATTTAGCTAATTCATTTTGGCACCCATGGCCCTCTACAGTCCAGTGGTAGTGAAGCTGCAAAACCAAAAATGGACAGCATGCTTCAAGGTAAGGTTTACTAGTTTTGAAGCATGCTGCATAAGGCAGAGAGTTTCCATTCAGTACAGGTATCTGCCAGCAACCTCCAGCAGCTGCACACCAAGAAATCCACATTTTTACCTAGCGACAGTTTCTAGGCCTCTCTGACCGAGGGCTAAAATGTTTCTTGTTGTAGACTGTGGCTGAAGTTGGGCATTTATGGGGATGGAGTTCTTTTTGGAGTCAGACTCCAGTGGCCATTAAAGGAACTGCAGTTTTTTGCATTCTGCATTTGATTCATTGTTTAGGGGAAGAGATTGCTGCTGGGGTAGCCGTCACCCGCTATTTCTCAGACATCTAAATAATTGTCAGTGTTTTATTATTTATTTAGAAAAAAAACAATGGTCACGATTAAAACTCAGACCCGCACAGTGCATATCAAGTTTCACCTGTCTGTGCGCTTAATGATAACATCTTTCCCGTGCCAGTTGACTGATCAAGCAGAAAATTGACTAAACATAAACATCATACGAAACCTTACTATCCAGCTTTGTATCTGATCAAGCGACTCGACCATCAGCTCTGACAGTTTCCTCTACAACACAACAGGCAACCACTGGAAAATTCAAACCACAACTTTAAGTGAAATACAACATCATTGTTTTTAACTTTTACATGAAAATATTCAGCTGGCTGATCCAAACGTACCGGCCCTGAGTCGACATCTTACCAGAGCAAGTTTCATTTAAGAACATCAAAGGATTTAACCAGGAGAACCATATGGTTCTCCTGTCCGAGTGCATCAATGACTCGTAAAGACCAGTGTAAATAAATGATGTCACTCTGCTTCCTTGTTCCAGCTCAGGTATGAGCAGACTGCATTGTTGTGGAGACTCATACATTTGCTGCTGTCAATAATTTTGAAAAGCTAAAGAAAGTTAGGAAGCAGGAAATAAAAGACAAGATTATTTCTTGGCAGGAGGCCAGAGAGTGACATCACAACGAACACTTTTAAGGCTTTAAAACGAACGAACTACAGTAGCAAAGTTGGAAAAGCAAGTTCAAACAGGATTTGTTCTGTTTCTTAGCAATGTAGAGCCATTCGTGCATTATTAGCATGACAGCACAATACCTGCTGTTTTGTGCTTAAAAAGTTCACAGAAAGAAATCTGAATCGGAGCAGTGTTTCATTTGGGAATTTCGACTTGGATGTCTATGGATTTCTAACTTTCCACTTCAACTGGAACGCACCAGTAAATAAGAAACTTCAGGGGCCCTGAGACGTGCGGCTGTAGCAAGTCTGTAGAGATTTTGTGTAGTAGATGCATTTCGCTTTTAGCCAACTAGAACATTTCCTCCAAGTAGATTTTCAACTCATATAACAAGTAAACTATACTAACAATGTTGTATGGACTTTTATGACTAAATGAGCCACACAGGCACTGACTAGTTTCAATGTGCATCACTGTGTTCAAGTGATAAAAAACAGGCACTGTGTTGATGGATGAATGACTCTACCTGGCCAGCAAGCAAAAGGAATATTGTGTTTTTCCTTCCTTTTGTCTGTTTTCCTTTACCATATTGGCAGATATGTTGGATATCCAAACTGATATCGTATTGGTACTGGTCTTAAAAATCCTGTATAGTTCAGATAATAATAATTAAAAGCCAAAGGGGAATGACTAAATTTGCTTTTATTTTGGAATTCAATAGTTGTGGAACTGTGTTTTAAATAAGTGAATGATTTAAGCAAAACATCACTTGTGCTAAAAACTGTCCTCTATATATATATATATCTTGTATTGCCCCTTTAATCAAAGTTAAAGATTAGTCTTTCTTCCCGGAGTTTCATATAGTAGGTCTAATCCGTGCTAATCAGATTACAGACTGTCCAGAGCGGCAATTGGTGGAAATACTAGTTTTGATTGATTGAACGTGACAACAGTGCACGAAGGATCCTCAGAACCCATAAGCAGCTTATAAATTGATGGCTGTTAATATGAAGCTCCAAACAGATTGGCCATAAAAGATCTAGTAGGTAAAAAAAGGGAATTGTCCGCACAAGCTTGATGGATCTGGTTTATGATCAACCATATAAGTACACAAGAAGTCAAACAAAGTAAAGTCACTGTTCGGTCGTTACAAAGTCAACACTTACTTCCTTCCAGATCAGTGTCATGTGCCGTCTCCCCTGTGCCCTTCACACCAGTGATCATGAGAGCAGCTACTACGGCCCTGACTGCTGCTTGGGTCAAAGCTGGTGGGTTATAAAACAGTGCCAAGGAACAAGTCAGGTGACAACAACAGGACTGTACAACCACACCCACTTGAAAGACCACTTTTAGAATAAAACATTCCAACTCACCAACCAAACATAATTCATTGTCAAGGTGCTAAGAAAACTTTATTGACTCCTGTCTGGAATTTTTTTCAGATTTGTCTTCCACAGAGGTCAGCAGTTACAGACCAGTATGCTAGTTTGACTATGTACCAGCACTGATGGGCTGATTGCCATGGTGAGTATTTGTATGTTTCACATAATAAATAAGGGCTCGTTTACAGTGGTCATAAAATATGACTGTAGCTGTGAAGTCTTTCCAAAGCAGCATGTTAGACACAGAGCAGCTTCTGTCCTCCATCTGCGTATACATTCACTGGGTCATCGATCATTTAGCCCAAACCTATGAAAAGCCCATTGTCCATTTTCTAGCGGAACCATGTCAGAAAGATCCACAGTCATATTATTTAGTGGTCCAATGTCAGTGAATTAAGATTCAATCACAATCTTTCCTGAAGTTCTTATGTCTTCTTATTATGTTTTTTTAGCATGTTTTCTTGGCCTAGCAATGTTTTCCACTGAGTTCAGGAAACATGATTAGGAAACATATTAGCACTTTTCTTCTTTTGCTTTTTATATGTATATATATGACTGCTATGTTATCTACCTAGCATTAGCTTAGTGACATGAAACAGCTATCTAATAATAACACAAAGGATACATGAAGCTTACTTTGTGTTTTGGCAGAAACCAACGTAAACAGAAATCTTGATTGGAAGACGGCAATAGAAGACAAGTCAAAATGAGCTGAATTCATTATTTTCCAGTAATATCTGCCAAGTATTTTTAAAGATATGTCACTCTGACCCAAGAGGAAGGATTGGCCAACTGGCACTGATTTGGATTAACCGCATTTTTCAAGCATCATAATAAATCCCCCAAAGAATCCATCACAAGTCACCATGTTAGAAAGTGTTCTACAGAGCGACTGTGAAACCACATTTCTCAACAAGTGTGGAGCCATGCACAGAGTCGCTCAAGCTGAACAGACTGAGGTTTTTTTGGGCCTGTGTGATCTCAGTGCACTTGAATTGACCACCTGACTTCACCTTGATGAGTCTTATCCGGACAACAGAGCTCAGTGGAGGGGGCAGCAAGGACACGGCAAGG